CCTCCACTTTGGTCTTTTGATCGATCGATTTAAGGATTCGTTTCGTCTTTTTTAAAGAAGGCGGGGAACTTAGGTTAGGTAGCTTAGAGGATATTTGATATCCGCGTTTTCGCAGCGCGAAAAGTCTAAAAATAAAACGCATATTCCAGGAAACGAGACGTACGAGACGTTTCTCATTACGCTCGTTGTATTACGTTTCGCATTAGTTCCAGCCGGTCTAATTGCCGCTACGATGTACCAGCGATGATTACGTTCGCCGATAACGGATTTGATTATAACTGTTAATTCGTTGCGTACCACGATTACGTATCGAGATTATAACTAATTATTGACTTAAATAATACACGGGATATAGCCCGAGTTCCCTCGAGAGCCGAGAGTTCCCCCTCGACAATACTTCCAATTTCTCACGCGGATGCGTAGCACGCACCGTGAACGTTTCAATTAATCTGTTAAGTACGTTGAACCGTTTTTCTTTTTCCTCTTTTTTCTTTAATTTTCTTTTTTTTTTTCTTTTTCCTTTCCTTCTTTCTTCCGTCGAGATAACAACTACGACAATCCTACGAGTTTCGATTGAAAATCGAAAGAGAATCGCGACAGGAGGATGGAGAAAAAAAGAGGAAACTCAAAAATCGAAGAACAAGAAGAAGAAGAAGAAGAAGAAGAAGGAGAAGGAGAGGCGAAACTGGAACGGGAACGGAAGCGGCGTCGTANCACCGACAGTACGGAATAACTGGCAAAAGCGCGATAAATCAGGGATCCGAGGGCAACCGAATTAGGAAATTGGCTGCTTAAAAACCGCAATGACGTTAATCCCGGCGTGGCGGCAGCTAGAGGATTCAGGCTAGCACTCGCGCCATCGCAACCCGGGGAGGGAGAGAGAAAATAAAACTGATCCGGCCAAGGAGCGGTTCCGTATCGCGGTTGTGCCGGGTGGAATAATGCGGAATAAAATCAACGTAACTCAATCGCGGTTGTCTTTCGAGATCAGCCTCCCCGTCTTGGCCGCTGATAAATGTTCGATACCGACTACCTGTACACGAACGCCCGTCCCTCTAATTCCCCGTCGACCTCGACGCTCTGTCGGAGCAAGGAAGCGATAAAGCTTCGGCGTCCAAAAAATCTTTCCCAGAAATTTATCACCGTTCGACGTCTCTGGCATTCGAGGCGACCAAAGGTTCCAGTCCCCCCCTCTCTCTCTCTATATATATATATATATATTTCTGCATACCGTATTATGCGTTTCCGCGATCTCGCGGGATACATCCGTGAAATACGAGCAGAAAAATACCATCGCGAAGATGAAGAATCTCTCCACCGTTGGTCGAAAACATTCTAACGCTCGTGTCAGGAAACGATTCGTCGTATAATATCGGATCTCGAAGCGGAATCGGTTCAATTAATGAACCGGGGGACGAACTGTTAATAGCGGATAACTGGGCGGGCAGATTTTCATTCATTTGGCGACAATGGGCCGGAATTAACGTGGAACCGCGCATCGACTTCCCTTCTGGAATATGGAATGACCCCGCTAATGAGGGTTTTCGCCTCGCGGCGAACTCGGCCGAGCGC